CGTGAGTTATTCATCTTACAATCACCTGCCTTCTATTTTGAAATGGACAGTAGTTTTCGAAAATAAAATGAATGAATACAATTGAGTTAGATAAGTTTTTAAAATCAAACGGTTAGATTAAATTTAGTTATAACATATCTCTTAAGATTTACGAATAAAATTTATTTGATTCGATAAACGTTTTAGAATTTTCGAGATTGGGTTATGAAAAATTCGTACAGCAACTATTCGATTAATCAAATAGAACTTAATAGTTTTTGTATCTTTTTCAAATAACATACACAAATTAATTAAACTTGTCAAAATTTGTATAGTTTAGGATATTAGAACAAATTCAGAAGGAAATCAACAACAAGTATATTTTGAATGTGTATTGAAGATTTGCTAGTCGTAATATATCATATTTAAACAATTTAAATTCAACAATATTATATCTATAGAATAGTTATTATTCTACTAATTAATGAATGCAAAAACATCAATAATATGATCAAAAACAAGCAGATCGTTATATAATTCATAGAAATCATCTTTATGCAGCGACCACATTTCTCAAAAGCTAAATTAGCTATTTGAAGAGACTTAATGATACTTGAAGAATGTTTTCTTTAGGAATATCTGACCATTCATTTAACTATTGTGTATTTTGTTATTGTAAATATCAGAGTATAGAAAAGTGTAGGTATGGGTTTCGATGCTCTCTTCATTCACCTGTATCTCACTCATACTCTTTCTTAATTTTGAACATGTATATGACGTATTCTATAATTTTAACAATTGTTTTCAAATTCTTCTGATTGACTCGACTGTTCCTATTAATATCAATATGTTAGCCATGTCCAAATCAGATTTTTGAAAACTATTATTCATATATTATCACTTCTAATAGACATCAAATTAAATCTCTTTATTTATCGAATTCGTTTTCTATAGATCTATTTTTCACACAAATTTACATGATATCAAAATTTACTCGATTAGAAAGAATTATATTCAATAATATAAAATCATAGAATCTCACAAAGATTTTGTAAGATTTAGTTTCTTTACATAATTTATCATCAATAATCATTAGTGTTGCTATTCGTCTTCTAAAATCGAATGATCTTTATCTGCACATATTTCGTTTACTTGTATTAAAATATTGCAAGTTATCATAGAAAGGTTACGTTAGATTTAAACCATTATCTACTCCAACAAACGAATAAAATCGTATCGAATATCTGGTGACTAAGAATCATTTATGTCTTAGCCATCTAAATGCTTTATTACTATATATTTATTATCTTCGTCGCTTGTTTGTTGAGTGTGGGTGTGGGTTTGGACGTAGATGTGCGTGTATTGTATCTTTTCATTCTCAATTACATCCTACGAAATACGTAACATAACTATTTTGATTTTCTTATTTCTTGTATAGTGAATTTGAATGCCAAAAGAGAATGGTGTTATGTTAAACGTTTAAAACAAAAATTATTATTTTAATATTTGAGATATTATTCTTTATGATAGATAGTCGTTATTGTAATGGACATCCTTATCATCATGAATTATCATCATAAAATACAAATGAAACCATCTCATTTTCATCTAGTTTAAAACAAATCATACTAAATTATGATCATTAAGAATTTTAATTAAAAAAAAAATTATGGTACAAGTGAGGTATCAAAAACAAAAGGGTATTTCATCAGTAACAAATCATTTTTTTGTTTCCTTTCTATCTTTATCATAATCAATCGTAAATAGATATTCAATATAAGATTTTTAAAGAACGTCATCTAAGCTATCAATCAAAAAAATTGTATGAAATTTGCATGAACACTAATAGAGAACGACATCAATAAAAATTTTGTTAAATGCATTTTTTAGTTTATCTCTATAAAGAATAAACTTCGCAGTTTATTGTGATGGTTTGACTTAATTTTTTTTTAAAAGATGGCGTGTGAAATGTTCTACAAAGCCCAATAAAAGATGCCTCTTTAAAATCATGGCTCAGAATGACATGAAATATAGTTCTTTCGGCAATGAAAGAAAAATACTTTTACAAAAAACGTCTCTACGAAACTGGATCTTTTGGGAGTGTAACAATACTGCTGATCAGATATGGTTTTCCAGTTATCATTTTGAAGATGTATCTTTTATTGGATTTCCTAGAGTATTTCACAGGTTATCTTTTTTAAAAAGTTTAAGTCAAACCATGACAAAAATAAGAGAGATATTGACAAAATACTGCAAAGGTTATTCTTTATAGAGATAAACTAAAAAAGTGCATTTGACAAAATTTTTATGGGTGTCGTTCTCTATTAGTGTTCATGCAAATTTCATACCATTTTGTTTTTGATCGATAGCTTACATGACGCTCTTTAAAAATTCTTTATTGAATACTTATTTATGATTGATTACGACAAAGATAGAAAGGAAATAAAAAGAGCGTTATTACTTATGAAACATCCTTTATTAAATGAGAACATTTGAAGTTCAAAATGACAAAGTGATGGAAAACGTTGAACAAATTTTGAAGCGAAAGCTGAAGGTAAATAAACATGTTCTGTTATTGATTTGATCATTTTAATTTGTTTAAAAATTGGATTACAGATGAATTATCAATTAATTTTGATAAGACTAATAATGGAATATTAATTATAAGACTATGTACATTAGGACATGCTCTAGAACAATGTATTAAAAATATTTTTTCAATGAAAATAAATATAATATATACTGTAGAATTAATTGAATATCTTTCCATCGATCTGCACGAAACGATGATCGAAACTCTAGTTTTTTTATATTCAGTAAATAAACAAAACATGATAAGCCAGATCTTGTAGTGCATTGTTATTATCAGCAATCGTTCGTCGAAAAGTAACTGGAAAAATTGAATCTCATTCCTTCTTAACTGGTACAACGTGAATTATTTTCATAGAAATAATAGAATAAATCTATTGTTCTTACCAATATTAGATAAATAGTTCTACCATGGTGACTTCATTATTGGTATTTCTACGAGAAGATAAGTAATATGTTGAAATAAAAGATGAGACCAAGTAACATGATATAATTTGGTTTATGTATAATTTCAAATTTGTTACATTAGAATAAAAAGAATAATGATCATCTATTGTTTTTCTTGTTGATCGCGTTGCAAATGTTTCACAAAAAAAGAAAAGGAATCTCTAATTTTACGCTTGATGTGTGTTAGGAACATTTCAATGTTCGTACCCTAATACACTTCTAAAAGAAAAAGAACGGTATAGTCAAATATCTATTCTTAATTCAGATTTAGTTGTCTCATATTTATGTCTTGAAACAATTTTATTTACTTTGAACATAAAAATCATATTTCCATCGATCAATAGTTATGTTTCATATTGAGATACTTATTAACAAAATAATTAAAGGACGCAATCACAAAAGCTAAATTTAATTTTGGCAATCATTTCAAAAAGGCCATATAAAATTCAAATTTAGATAAATATGGAAGATATAGGTCGAACATTTGTTTTCGGACATTCCCATCAAGATATTGATTGGTAAATGGGCCCAACGGTCTTTTTCGGCATCAGATGAAAATGAACATATTTGATAATAGGCATACAACGTAAAATATACACAGCCGACCAAATATCGAACATAACATCAATGGTTAATTCGAAAGATGTCAATTTTGATAATATAGGAGGATCATTTTCATTTATGAGTAGCTCATCACTTGGAATACTATAATAATATAGGATCGTTATTTTTTAAACATATTTCTTCTGGTATATCTATTGAATTATGAACTTATTTAACATTATTATTTTCAAATTATTCGTCATGTTATAATATAATATATAGATATCATATACAACGACATACAAAAAATTCGGGTAACTGAATACTTAGATACAGTTGAAGATGAACCGCTAATATGAAAATTAAGTAATGTAAGATTTGAACCTAAAGGTGTAGAATTTCATTTATCTAGGTAATGATGAGGATATTGAAGTTCCATTGAACGAAAAGAAGATGATTTGTGTGTTAATATACTTTGAGTCAATTGCTCATTATCATTTTTGGGGAAGTCATCACAATTTGGTTGAAAAATTTTAATTAAGACAAATGTATTAAGACTTAGACTTTGTTCAATAACCTTATCAAGTGTAGTCATTGAGTTAGTTAATAAAATTTTACATGATTCTAGATGAGGAAAGCTGTGTCGATTGAATAATAAACTGATAATAGATGTATCATCAAGAGCGGTATCGAAAATGCTTACTGAGACGACTTGATGTTAATGAAAAGTAAGATGAGTAGAAAGAAAGTCAAATTGATGACGGCAACGTTCTCTGGAAATAACAATGTGGAGTAGAATTGATTGTAAAATAGATAATATTCGTTTGTTCAATAAAATAAAGTCAGTAAAAAATATCAAATACGCGTAAATAATCTAACGTTTCAAAGAATATCTCATTTGATAAATTTTTCAGCTGAGTATTTACATCCATTTCTAGAATATATGACCATATAAGTAATGAAAATATCAAATAAGTGAATATTTGGCATGACAATATCTGTTGTGTTCCACCAAAAACAGCCTATGAACAATACTGGCAAGAAGATAAAATGAATTATGATTTAATCGTCTTGTTCAGTTAGAGATATATGAAAAAAATGTGAAGAAAAGATGTATTGATTATGTCAATTCTTCTAATTCTGCGCGATATTTATCAGATCATAATGTCAGACTACACGATGAAGAGAGAAAACAGATATAAATGATAAGCATGATGGGATTGTTCCAAAAAAATGAAAGAAATGTTCAGTTCGAATTGATCTTTAGTACTTATTAGTATTATAGAAGTCAAAAACAAATTGAAAATCCTAATTGATTCGTATAATTTTCAGTGGGAGACAACGTTCTTTACTCGAATATTTCCAATTAGATGGTATGTAGAACATTATGAAACGATTAATTTTAATCCATATTTTCTTCTGCTCCATTTCCAAGACTATTTTGACAAATGTGTCTCATTTTCTATTCTGTACAGATCAACAAGCATATTTTCAAATGAAGGAGAGAATCTCACGAGTGTATCATAAGAAAAGTAATTTAATACTCAAGAGTCAAATTTTCCTTCCAAACGAATATTCTATCTCTGTAATAAAAGCAATTATTTCAACTTTAGCTTGATCATACTGAGAATATCGAGAAGGTCTCATCTGTTGATCTAGTTTCTCTTATTGTCAACAAAGTCTTTGCTCAGCTGTTGAGAGTGTGGTCGTGGATGCACGAAGAAAAGAAACACGCACACCTTTATCCTTGTCTGAACTTTTAAATTATCTTGCATATCTAGTTATTCCTGTTTGATTCTTTTACTTCTGAATAATCACACAAGATTCTTTTCATCTTGAAATTTTCGTAAGAATCTTTTTTTCTTTCCTCTTAAAAAGAATCTTGTCTGACAACCAAGAAAAACAAGAATCTGGCGAGATGTGAGCCAAGATCATCGAGTAGTGTGTGTACACTCGAGTGTACATGGCTGTTTGCTATAATCTATTATCTGTTTCAAGTTCAGTAATAACGAAAATATCAAACACATGACTAACCATTTTCTGCAGTTGACTCTTTGTTGATGAGATTGTAGTAGAAGTAAAATTAGTATCAGCTAATTTCTTACGATTAGTTTTTGCTTTTGTTTGAGCTCTAGTTGTAACTGCGTCAGTAATGTGAAGATTAACACCAATCCAGACAATAATATTACGTTTTAAATAATACACTGTAGATGTTGAAGTATAAATGGAAAATAGTAACGTTGAGGAAGGTCATTGTGATTTTTTGTTGAAGTAAATGGTTTTTCTCTTAGAAAAGATTAACGTCAAAATATGATAATGAAGTTTTAACTTTAGATAAAAAACCACTACACTTACATATTTTATAAGAAGAAGTACACGAAAAAAAAGGTTGAGCAAAAGGCGAAAGAGTCATTAGATTGTAAATTGTTTACCTTCAGTTTCTTTTTTCATTTGCACCAAATAACGATTAAGTTTACATTTAAGATCTGCATCAAGTGGATTACCCCTCTTGTCGAGATTTTGTAATGCTATTAATGAAAATAAATCTTCAAACATAGGAATTAACAATTTGCAAAATAAATTTTTATGTCTATCAATGTATGCACTATGTTGAACGATATTTTTTTTTAAATTCATTTGATTATTAGATAAATCATTAATTTTATTAGAAACAATTTCATCATTATTTTTTTTAATAATAAATTGTTCGAATTTATCATGTTTAGCTTCTAAATTAGCGAGATGATTTTTCACCTCCGATAATTTATTTATTAATTCGTCCAGCTTAATCATCATTGGATTAACTGATAATGTTGAAGATTTAGGTGGTGGAGGATGTGGAAAATTCGTTGAATTAAAAATAACATTTTTATTCTTATTCATCAGGTTTGTATCAGGTGGTGAATGATTATTCGATTGAAGAATTTTGCGAGTTAATTCAATCCGATAAGATTTAACAACAGAACACTTGAGAGAACTAGATTTATGATTTTGTCCACAGTGAATACATTTTTCAACTTTAGAACAATTATGATTTTTTAAATCATCAATTTGTTCACCACAAGTACGACAGGTTTCCTTAATCTGAGTACACTGGTTTTTAAAGTGGCCAATTGTCATGTACTTAGAACATATAAGTACATTAGCAGGAGCTAAATATTCGATAATATCATAAGTGATATAGTTAACATTAATCCTCTTTTGATTTAATAAAACATCTCTAATAGAAGAAGAAGATAATTCAATTTTAACTAACTTAATATCCTTTTGAAATTTGTTTTTCATTCTAATAATATTTTTAACTTGAGGATATTTAGCTTTAATATCATTACAGAATTCATCAAAATCAATACGTAAATCGACATTTTTTATTAATAAGCATAGTTGTGGTGGAATACCTGGAACTGAGGGAAAATAATAATTTTTATTAGCTATAACATTAGGCCAATGAGCTTGTTCTAATAAAAACGAAAAAGAAACAGCATCTTTTACATAAATAAGGATATCATATTCATCATTTAATAGAGCAGCAGAAGATAAACGACAATGATTTACTTGAACATCAAACTGATGAGCTTTTTGCAATGGTCAACTAAATTTTCTTTAACCTGATTGCTTGTTACCTTTCCTGAACTAAAACGTAAAATAAATGGCGGAAAAGGGTAGCGTGTTTGAGCAAAACACGTTGATTCATTAGTAATTACGACATTGTGAGATGATAATTGATGATGATGATGATTATCATTAGCAACACGTATTTGATCTTGATCAAATTCTGAATCAATAAGATTAGATACTACTGGGTTAACACTAGATGCTTCAATATTATTTAATGCGTGTGGCTCATCACATGTAGAGGTGTAAGCCGTGCGGCTGAGCCGCCGTCGCCGCCGATAACATCGAAAAATTTCAAACCGCCGCCGCCGCGACAATAGAAATTTTTAAGCCACCGCCGCTGAGAGACTTTAATTACAGCCGCCGCGCCGCCGATGGTATTTGAAATTTTAAAATTTTTGAGCCGCCACCGCTGACAACTATTATACCTATTCATAATGTTTTATTTATATTTTCCTTAATTCGGTATTTCTACATCTTGGAATCCCACTATATCTCTTTTTCATTAACTTTCTCGCCTTCGCCATCACTTTCGTGCTGATTCTGCGACCTATCAGATGCTTGGGGTTCTAAATTGTCAATGAACCCTTAATTCTGTGTTAGTTGAAACTTTCAGGTTAGCATTTCAGTTGTTCATGTTTCTTTTATTAAACCTATTTATAAATATAAGAAGAGATGAGCATTTTAAAGTTTTATCAATAAAAACAAAACAAAACCCAGCAAACTTAAGTACGCTAAGTGCATTATTTATTAATGATTGTGGCGAGTTTTTCTTTATTATTTATTCGCGCAATTATACTTATTTTAATTATAGATGTTTTATTATATCTAGGTGTGAAATAAATTTTTGCTACATGTGTTTGAAAATACAAAGGTTGAGATATTGAAACAGGTCTTGTCTGCACTGAAAAATTTGATGCTGGTTTACAAAACATGATTGATTGAACAGTTAACAAGTATTTATAATACTTTAGAATAGTGCATTGAATTTTTTGCATTCTTCAGAACCGCATTAAATTTCGTGCACCAATTGAAGTCTGACTCGATTTTCTAATGGGACTGATGTAGTTAGCAATTGGCGAGCCTTCGATGATTGAACTAAGGAAAAACTATGATTCATTTCAAAGTCTAGGATTTTGATTCTTGCACTAACTGTCAAATATAGACACAAATTGATGCAATACGAATTTAATATTGTATTATCCCGCTAGTGTAGACAAGGCTATAGATTAATTTTTTATGAAAATGTAGTACTTTTTAAATTTCAAGCCACCGCCGCTGAGACATTTTAATTACAGCCGCCGTGCCACCGATGGTATTCGAAAGTTGAAAATTTTCCAGTCGCCGCCGCTGTTCTAACTTGAATTATCAAATCTGCGCCGCCGAACATTTTGAGAAAATTCTTAAAAATTGGCGCCGCCGCCGATCAGCCTTTCGGCTTACACCTCTAATCACATGTAATTTGTTTGTGTTTCTTCTTGTTCTTTACGAGGCGAAAGCCATCATCTGATTCGTCGGCCGAGATTGGACAGCGAACAGAAGGTAATGATGAATTAACAAGATGCAAATTTGATGTTGAAGTTAATCGTGGTGTAATAACATGATTTTCATTAGTTTTTTTTATTTAAATTAACATAATCATCTTGATCATGATCAGAATGAGAATCCAAAACAGTATTCGAGTTAGAAAATAATATATTATTTATTTCGGATATTGAAACATGATCATTTGATTTTTGTAAACGGTGTTCATCATCATTGTTCAGATACAAAACTGAATGTGAAGTCATTATGACTTTTAATTCAATATAAAGAGAAAATCAATATAATAAATTAATTAATTTTCTCGATCATGTACAGAGCACGTGATTAAGATATATACGTATATGCGAAGGACAAGAAAAAGACGTAAATAGACTGATCAGTAGATAGAACGAATCACGAGTGTATAAATGGTTTTTCTCTTCCTAATTATATATATATATATATATATATTTATTTATTTATTTATTCAAATTAAAAATTTAATTTGTATTTTATTGAAATTAATTAAAGGTAAAATAATAATTGAGGTATAGTATAGAATGTCAATTAAAATTTACAATCAAGTAATTAAAATATAATAAAATTAAACTATAATATTAAATGAATATTGTTGAAAAAGATATTTCGGAGGTCTGCTGCTTCCTTCTTCAATTATTGATATGATATGAGGGTGCATGTGTATTTCTTTTTTTTATATTGTCTTATTTGACTATTTAGTTTTTTATGTTACTATTCTTGTTAATAGTGGAACGGACAGTAGGAATGTTTAAGCATAATCGTTCAGTATTACCGCCTTGCCTGTCCGTTCCACTATTAACAAGAATGGTAACAGAAAAAACTAAATAGTCAAATAAGACAATATAAAAAAGAAATACACATATACACCCTCACATCATATCAATAATTGAAGAAGGAGGCAGCAGACCTCCGAAATACCTTTTTCAACAATATTCATTAATTATTATAGTTTAATTTTATTATATTTTAATTTTATTATATTTAAATTACTTAATTGTAAATTTTAATTGACATTCTATACCATACCTCAATTATTATTTTACCTCTAATTAATTTCAATAAAATACAAATTAAATTTTTAATTTGAATAAATATATATATAATTAGGAAGAGAAAAACCATCTACTTCAATAAAAAATATAAATGGAAATCTGCGTCATGGAATTCATTACTGAAATGGATGAATGTGGACTAATTAAACCATTTTTTGTTACGAAGATGATAAGTAGGTGGAAAATAACAGTTGTCCAGACGACATTTGTTTAGTTATTTTAATTCTTTTTTCTTGATGTAGATAAATGTATGTCGGATTAATAAATCGGCACAACATTTTAATACTGCCAACTTAATCTTTCATTGGAAGTGTGATCGAATTTGTAAATGCATGAATATGAATTGGTTTATCGTTATTATTAAGATTAATCTTGTATTTTTCAGTAGAATGCATTCCTAAAATATAATTAGCACATAAAGAATTAACAACTCTTACCACGATTTTTTTTTCATTTGATTGAATTCAATAAAATTTTTTAATGTTGATTACTTCGAAAATAGTATAACCATCTGTCGTTGAATAATATTATTGGGTGCACCTAACCGGTAAATGTGTTGTTTGTTTTAATGTTGCTTTGATCGTAAAAGATGTTGTTGCACTAGAATTAAGTATAAAGTGCATTGAAACTTAATTAACATTTTCAAGAATACAAATTGGTGATGGAGATTAAATTTATAGAAGTCAGTACCATCATTCAATGACTCCTTTATTGAAAATGTGGACAATGACGAATAAAATGGCCAATGGTACCACATTTGTAACATTGATAAGATAGTTTGGATATGGAATTGCATTGTTGACATTGTGCTGTCATGGCAGCTACATATTGTTCAAGCAAATGATTATTATTATAATCAATGTCATAATATGAATCGTTATAACTTCGTTGTCTAGAGAAAACAATTGAGTGTCTTGTTTTTTCATTTAATTCTTTAAGTTCTTCAATCTATTGAGCCTAATCTAAAAATTCTATTGCAGTTTGTGGATTTTTTAATAATAAACCAAATCACGATGGCGGTTTTAAGCCATTGTTCATGAATATTGTAATTTATTAGCACCATCTATCAATAGATTTGCTTCTTTACGTAGTTTCATAGCATCATAATAATATCACCTTACATCTTGATTTATTCTTTGTTGATAATGACGTAAACGATTAAAGGAAATATCGGCTTTTTCTGAAAATTCAATTTTTTTTTATAAACTTTCGGTAAATGTGGACCACATTGTAGATCAGTGAGGATTATCATAAAATGAATCTCTTACATCCGCTTCTAAGCATAAAGATACGTAAAAATAAGTTTTTCATCATCTGTTAGGTTAAAAATATTTATCGTTTGTTGAAGTGCTCTAAGCCATTTAGATACATTTTGTTGTAATTTTTCAGAAAATATTTGTAGTTCTTCGAGAGTCTTAATTAAAAATTGATTTCGTAAGCAATTCATCACAGTATCTTGACTATGAGCGTTTTCTAATTGTTTTGACGTCGTACATGATGTTATCCGTTCTCTGGACAGGTCTTTTTTTCAATTCTTGGCTTACAAAATATTGCCAAAATTGTCTCATCAATGCAATGTAAGTTGGCATGTGTTCTTGTTGTTCAAAATACCAAATAAGTGCGTCACCAGTTAAAATACAAGAAGTTTATTAATTGCATTCACGAGCTGTTTGTCGTAATAAATAAACTTCTTTTATAATATTTTCTAAAAAATATTTGGATTACCATATCCATTAAACTTTTTTATTGAATTTAATTGTTGCTGTTTTAAAGATTGCTGTTTGTAATCAGCTTCATTTGATCACTGACCATCCAAGTCATGATCTAGCTTATACGTCGTTGATTCAGTAAAAATTTTTAATGTTTTTATTAAGATCAAATGTTGTGACTGTAGAAACGATATTAATTTGTTCGGAATTTGAAATTATTAATAATGATTGTTTTTGTTTTTCAAAAGACAATAGTAAAGAAGCTATAGTTGTTTGTGTAAAATCCGTCGTAGATCGAATAGATTTAGTATTCATCAATGTTGTTTCTAGCCAAATATTTGCTTTGATTGCCACACAGAATCTTTTTTATTTATTTTAAAGAAACATCTGCCAGTGCACTATTGTTAGGTTCCAAAATCATTTATTTTAAAAATCACGAAGAACCTAATTCTTTAAAAAAAACAAACAACAATAATAACAACTGACTAGAGAAGATACAAGAAAAGAGATAATCTGGGTAAGGAGGATCGATCATCTACACATATATGACAGGTTTTAATACTATGTTCTTTCTGTTCTCTGATATTCAGCGCGTGAAATCTCATTATCAGTTCTTCATGCCAAGGAAGAGATGAGAATCAGTGATAAGATATTTTTCACTATCTAGAGTAAACCAGCACCTAAAAATGACACTTTTTTTATTTCGCTTCCTTTTGTAAAACATGATCTGCAAGGAATGTTGAGGTTTTGGGGGTAAAAGTTTACACCTGCCCCTTTCTCCCCCCCCCCCCCCACACGCACACAGACTGCGACAGACAGGACTCATGAATTATTAGGCACCTATAGAAGACTTCACGGAGTATTAGAGTTGATGCATAACTAACATACGATTGAAGCATACATGAAGTATTATCCTGTTAAAAGTCTATACTGTAAGGTAAGTCATTATGAAGAACTGTACATCAGTAGGCATAAAAAAACAATAATTATTAAAACATCGGCTATAGCAGCTACATCGTGTTTCCCATTTTTAATCCCCCGGGGGGTTGTACTAACAGCTTTTATGAATGAAAGCAAAAAAAGATCATTATTCTTTCTCTTCTTCGACTTTGTTTACATTAAACGATTCAAGAACAATCCATAGTACGGGACCTGAAGATCTGAAGAATCCCCATACAACGGGACTCGAAGATCTACAAGTACTCTCATAATGAAGACCTTGAGAGCCTGAGAGTAACCTCATAATATAGAACTTAAGAGCCTGAGATTACTCTGATAATATAGGTATTCAGGACCCAAAAGGTATTCCCGTAATATAAAACTTAAGATCTTGCGATTATCCTCATAATATAGGATTTCAGAGCCGAAGGACGCTCTTGTAATATGCGACTTCAGAATCTAAGAGTACTCCATAATAAAGGATTTAAGAACCTAAGAGTGCCCTCATAATATAGAGCTCAGGATCTGTTGCTATACAGCTCGAACTGAGACCCTGTTCCTTATTGAAATCCTTACCTATATGGAAATAAGTGCTCCTAAAGAGGGTATGCTTCAGATTGTCGTAGTGTCTTGGATGAATATGGAGGCGGGGATGAGGTTAAATGTTGGTAGTGAACTTAGAGGCAGCACTGAAACCGTGTTTCATACTAGTATTTACAGTGGGACCAGTGAGAAAGCTGCTGGTGGCTGAAGGGTCTAGATTGAAACCGTGCCCTTCAGTAGCGACAAGTTTGGGATTGGCGCGTCGCCTCGCGGCGACGACAAAGTTCAGTCTAAAGGTGTAATTCGTATTAGTTTCGAGCCCGAGATTATTGAAAAATCTGGTAGTGACACTTGGGTTTAGAGCAAAGTCCTATGCTCCATTGATACCAGGATGGAACTTACACTTAAACCTGTTTGTGAATCTAGAGCTACGGTTGAAGTAGTCTCCCATATCTATGAGAGCGTCGGTAGCTGAACTCGAATTCGTATTTTCACATGAAATATATATATCTTGAAAAAGGAATATTCTTACTCACTTTTAATTGGCATATTTTAAGTGTACTTCCAACGGAGTCATACTTGCTCGCAGCAGTGTTTCATAATGCAGCATTGATGTTTGTGTACGTTGTACTTTAGTTGGTAAAAGCTAGCAAGCGAACCTATTGTGTAGATTATGTACATTTTTCCAACCACTTGAATAATTTTTTCTTTTTTGTCGATTGATCGTTGTCTACAGTGTGAAAAGTATAAAGAAAGCCCACGTTAATGTGTATACAATATGTGCTTGCTACGGTAGTTTTATGTATAGAATATATCATGATTATAAACAGATGAATACACATACTACAAGCTTATTACCTGTATATATATAGCCAACGTAGAGCATTTTTTTAACATAAGTAACTAAGCACTCACATAAAACTGGTGATTTAGTCTTGAAACAATTGCATTTCACACTGATATAACAAACAAAGGTACATTTAGTTACAATATCATATCTGCATGTCTGCTTCATAGTAGTATCTATTCAGCACATTTTTTTCGTTAATATTGGGTTGATGCAAAATTAACGACCATTTTCATTGATTCTAAATTTATTCAACAATACAATACCATAGTGCACTCAAAACATGTTTAAATGATCATTCTAGAGCATAATTACCATCTACTTCAATAAATGCTTCCCATTTGCTTGGCAAACGATTGATTCCACGTGCAAAAAAGTGACGATCCTTGGATGCAATCCACACTTAGACATCAGCGACAAAGGATGGGAACTGCTTGCGCACCCACCATATTCTCCCACTGAAGCTCCTACAGACTATCACGTCAATCGTTCGCTCAAAAATTGGCAGACGGGCAAAGTCTACGATGATTTGGACGATCTTGCCGCTGACGTCAAAGCGTGGATTGCATCCAAGGATCGTCACTTTTTTGCACGTGAAATCAATCGTTTGCCAAGCAATTGGGAAGCAGTTATTGAAGTAGATGGTGATTATGCTCTAGAATGATCGTTTAAACATGTTTTGAATATACTTTGGTGTTGTATTGTTGAACAAATTTAGAATCAATGAAAACGGTCGTTAATTTTGCATCAACTCAATAGTAGAACTAATAACTTTAATTGGTGTTGTCTTCGTTTCATCATGATAGTATTAGAATATATTTCAATGTAGATAAGACACAGCATCAGTTAGATAAGGTAAGATTCCTCCACTTGAAATGTGTCTACAATATACTTTATTGATGCAATTTGTGAGTTCTATGGACAAACATGTGGGTAGGCTATTGTCTTCAGACCAAATTAGGAGTATCAATTTAAATTTAAGTTCGAGTCTAGATATTACACTTTTGGATCATTCAACTCTTTTCCCGTCTAA